CAGCTGACAGGCAGCGGGCCCTCCTCGGCCAAGCAGCGTCCGCCAGGCGCTCGGGAGGATGTGGGATTTAACCACCGTGCGCCACATTCTTCTGGTTTCTGTGATCATCCTCAACCCAGATCAGACCTCGCCTAGAACTAAGAGTCCTTCTCTGATGGCTTCTCACCCAAGCAAGAGTCCAGCTCAGAGGAGCCCCAGGCCCCTGTTTCTCCCTCCCCAACAGGGCCCCGGCAGCCCCCCATCCGCAATAGCATGATGTGGGGGCTCAGGAAGGGGCAGGAAGAGAGCTGTGGAGACTCGGCCCAGGGGGAGAGGCAGCCCAGCCAGGCAGGGCCCATCCCAGTGTGCGCCCACCTGAGGGCCTGGCCTCTATGACATAGCGGGTGATGGGCCCTTTGCCAGGGTCTCCGCTGGACCAGTGGATGGCGATGGCAGAGCTGTACCGCACGAGGATGGGCACTCCTGGAGGTCCTGGGGCACCTGCAAACCACACAGGGGCGAGGGGTTACAGAACCCAGCAGCCGTCCAGCCCCTCAACCTGGGCTGGAGGAGCAGGAGCCGGGCGGCCAGCCCACCCCGGCCAAGAACCGCCAGAGCCGCGATGCTGAGGCCCGAGGAGCGTGCTTCCTTCAGGCCCGCCAGGGTGCACCCTGCTGGTCACCCCTGCACCCCACTTCCAATCCCAGGGCAGCGGAGGGCATGAGATAAGCAGGAAAGAGTCAAAGGGGTTTGGTCCCAGCCCAGAAATGATCGGATGGGTGACTTCGATCACTTTTCATGTCCCTCCAGTGTGCCTCAGTGTGTCCATCTCGAAGGGCCTCCGGGAGGCTAAGGCCTGACGGGCTGTGTCCTGGGGGCGGCAGAGGTGGCCGCCGTGAGAGCAGATGGGAGTGCTGGCTGGGAGGGGGCTGAAGTGCTCCCACTCTCCTTTCCTGGCAGGTGATGGTGACATCGCCCTAACTCCTGCTTGAACTTTCCCTGCCCCCAACTGCTCTTGCTGCTAGGCCAGGTGAGGAGAGAGGAGGCCCCAGGAGCCTGGGCAGGCGGAAGGAGGAAGAACTGAGCTCCCTGCCGCTCTTCTGGCCTGTAGGTGTGTCCAGGGAGCAGCCTGGGACATCGCCAGCCAGGAAACCAGAGCAGGAGACAGGAGGTTGCTTCTGTAGACGGAGGAGTGTCAGGCATCTGTGTACAGAGGGCCCCGCGCCCCTTCCTTTCTTGGGGAGCACCTGCCAGGGCAAGTGGGGTACCCGTCCTCTGGGTTGCTGCTGTCTCCAAGCCCCCGTCCCTCCTGCTGTCATCCACCAAGCCTGCTTCCCCCAGACATGAGCTTGGCCTCTCCAGAGCCTGGCACGTAGTAGGTGCTTCCTGGGTGCTTTTGGGACCCAGGAAGGTGCTGGAGTACAGGCGGCTGGGGGCTGCCTGGTGAAAATGGCAGAGAGCCCAGCACTGCACTGAAGCTCCTCCAGGCCAGCAGAGCATGTCGGCCTGGACAGGAGGCCAGGGACTGGTCACACGGCTGGGCAGCTCACTGCTGGGCCTCTGCGTCTGTCCTGCACTGTGGCCTTGGAGGACTTTATCTCCTTCCTCCCTCCCTGCCCTGAGGAGCATCCTGCCTGCAGTCCAGGGGACAGTAGAGCTGGATCTTTCAGGTGTGGAGGGTGGGGGTGACCATGGGACAGGACAGTGCTCAGGGCTGAGGGAGGGGCTGGGGCACTGCCCGGGGCTCCCCGCAGGCTCCTCCCACCCGTAAGGGCTGGGCGGCCATGTTCTTTCTTTCTGGGTGTCTCTCCAGCCTCCTGCCTGCATCTCCCACCTTCCACAGAATAGCTACCCTCCGGGTGACCCACTCCTGTCCCCAGCCACTGAGTAGCCCTCCCTTTGCTGGCCAGGGCCCTTCCTGCTTGTGGTTCCTGGGAAGACTCAGGTGCATGCGTCTAGGGTGGGGCTGGGGTCAGGTGCAGGGTGGAGCTGGCCGCTGCCTCCAGTGCCCTGCGGCCTTTCTCTTCAGGGTGCCCACAGACAGGTCTGCTCCTCGGCAGAACCATTCCCGGGAACAGAAAGTGACCAGAAAGGAAAAGAGAGGAGTGGCCAGCTGGGGCCGCCAGCGGGAGACAAATCCGCTGCACATGCAAGGACAGGAGACCAGGGTTCTGCTGGGCGCTGCTCCCCCCTAGAGCCCAGGCCTCCTGGGGAGAGGTCTCCGTTGTGTGGGTGGGGAGGGCGGAGGGAGGGCAGGGGACGTCTGGGATAGGCTGTGGACTTTCTGAGTTAAGGAGGGGGTGGGCAACATGGCCGAGAGGTGGCTCTTGTGTTCAGGATGGGCTGGGCCAGGACTCTGGAGCCTAAACCAGGCGCCACACACAACTGGGGGAGGACGCCAGAGAAGGGGGATGGTTAAGGGGAGTGATCAGGGAGGGCTTCAAAAACAGAGAGTTCAGACATGCATAAATACAAAATGGCATTTTGTGGTGTAAAGGTGGCTAGGCGGAGGGTGAGGGGCTTGGCTCTTCAGAGGTTGCCTGCTCCACCAAAATTCCCAGAGGTGCCAAAGTGGTCACACCCTCCAGGTATTCCTGTGATTAGTGCAGATTGCTGGGCGCCCCCTCCGTCCCAGGGAATCAACATCTCTGAGCCCGCACCCTGGAATGCACACTGTAACAGGAGCTGAGGGGACTCTTCTGTACCCACTCTGAGGGCACTGGTGGTTCTGGGGTTGGGCCAGGCCAGAGGCAGGGGACCTACTGACCTGCGTCCTTCCTGGAAGGAGGTGATGGAGGCTGGGAGGGAAAGAAAGGGGCACGTGGACAGGACTGAGCCCTGAGAGGAGGGTCTGGGTTTGTGACTTAAGGATCCCAAGGACTCAGATGCCATTAACCAAGTACAGAGCCCAGGAGGCTGGAGGAAGGGAGGGGATGGGCGGGGGAAGAGCCAGCTCTGAGCTCCCACTCTGTCTGCAGGGTCTAGCACAGCTCTTGACACCTGGGGGCCCCCTCTGATTTGGGGTGCTGAAGTGCTTATTGCTCCCCTACCTTCTCCTGGGCCTGTGGTGACGTTGGCTTCAATCTCCGGCCCGTAGGTGAAGGTCTTGGCTCTGATGCGGAACCTGTAGGTCATGCCCTCGGCCAGGTCCTTCACCTTCAGCCACAGAGGGCTGCTCCCCTTCACGTCCACTGTCACGATCTTGCTGACCCCTGGGGAGGCACAGTGAGCAGGGGTTGAAGAGCTCGTAGGAGCAAGGCCACAGGGGCCACTCGGAGCTGTGGGGCAGGGGCAGCAGCCTGAGCCCCCAGACACAGGCTGAGCCTGTACCCCTGGAAATCAGGCTGAAATGTCACCAGCCCCATGGCCACTCAGTTTCCCAGAGCACAGTCCTCTAACTGTTCTTGGAGAGAGCGCGTAGTGGTCAAACCTTGAGAACATCTGTGACCTGAACAGGGTCCGGTAGCACCCGGTGGGAAGGGCACTCACCATCCTGTTGCACTTACAACAGTACCCCACACTGACATCACCCCACTTTTATCTCCTATATCACGTCCTGTGGAACTTGAATTCTAGGCACTGTCAGGAAAGCCTTCTGTCTTTCCATGAGCTGGAGGGGACACTGGTGACCGGCTCCAGACCCCACCCTGGCCCTACCCCCAGTCCCACCTCTAGTCTCCTCTGTCCTCCAAAGGGAGCTGAGATCCCCCAGGGCCTCCATCACCTGCCCCTTTATAGGACAGAAATGAGGCTGTCCCGGCACCCCAGGTCACGGCAACCAGAGGGCAGGCTGGGGGCTGCTTTCAGGTGGGGGTGTGTGCTCTGAGTCCAGCCCCTTCACTGCCAGCCTCCCTAAGGGCCAAGTTCCTTTCCCATTCCAAGGTCCATGCTGGTCACCATGCAGGGACAGGTTTTGCAGTCCATGGGCTGGGCTCAGACCCCAGCGCTGGCCCTGGGTGTCTTTGGGCATGTCTCCCAGCCTGGCTTCAGCTGGTTCTTCTATTGATCCAGGGGATTAAGAGCACCCTAAACAGGGAGCACCCTAAACATAAGAACAGAGCGCCCAGCACACGGGGGGGGGGTGGGGTGGGGTGCCTGGTCGATTCACTGAGGAGGGAACAATGAGAGGGTGGGACAGCGGGAGTCAGGATCAGGACACGGGGCACCTGTTCCCTGACACTGCTGGACACACCCCTTGCCTGCTGGGCCTTGGTTTTCCCTGCAGGGGAGGGGGCTGCTGGAGTCCTGGGAGGCTGGTTTGCTGCTGGCCCACACCGGGGCTGGAGCAGGACCTGGGCAGACATGGTGCTGGCCGGACAGGGCTTCGTCCAGTCTCATGGTGAGCTGGGATGTGACGGGGAGGGCGGGAAAACGTAAGCAGATACAGGTCAGCCGGAAGTTTGTACTGAGCCCCTGCATCTTGTCTCTGTGACCTCTGTCCTGGGACCTGTCCCCAGGTCTCCTCCTCAGGCCCCACTCCCCCTTGGTATCATAACGCACAGGTCCACTCTGCGGGACAAGCTCCTGGCACCCAGGTGGTGGCCGGGGAGACTGAGGGTCATTGTTCCCTCCACTGACCCAGGACTGCTGGCAGCAGAGTGTTCCCAGGCTCTGCCCCTGTTCTCACCAGGCTCCATTGTTGGGAGGCATGAGAGCAAGAGGGATGACCACAGAAGTGGTCACTTCCTGCCACCAGAGCACCCATGGCAGGCCAGCCACTGCCCAACAGTTCGCTAGAACCAGCAAGTCCCAGGCCTCAAGCCACCCAGACTCCTCCCTGCCTCTAAGACCCCGGTCCCCAGAAGATGGGTGATAACAAAAGAAGAGCTGTTTCTGGGCACCCTGCTCAGCCGAGCTCGCTCACACCCCGTGTCTGGGCAGCCTTGGGGGGAGGAAAGCAGGCAAGTGTCTGATGTCCCCTTCAGGGTCCAACGAGCCCTGCCTGGGGCCTGGAAGAGGGGCCTAGAGGAAGGGCAGGAGGGTCTGAGGGCAGCTTTGGTGAGTGGGGCTCAGGTGCGAGGGGCATCTGTGGGGCAGGTCTCTTGATCTGCAGCTGGCAGATGGCATTAGGGGTGCAGTAACCCCCAACTTGTGCATCTTCCTGGGGAGAGGCTCCGAGGCTTTGAGCAGATTCTCAAAGGGGTTACTGACCCTCCAGAGGGCAAAGAAGGACGGCCCTGGAGGAGGGCTGAGGACTCTGGGGTTCGGGAGGCGCTGGGGTAGGACAGGACTGCCAGCGGCCCCCTTCTTCATGGTCCCTATACAGACCTGTCCACCTTGGAGACCAGGTTTCCCTGGCTGCTCTGCTTTTGGTTGACTGAGGGGAAGAATGGATTTTAGGATTCTCTGTCTAGAAGTTGGGGGGTACAGAATGCTGCCCTCGACCCCTCAACTTGCTGGTATTCAGCCTTGGGAACACCTCTTCCTGGTCTGGGCCTCAGTTTCCCTGTTCCTGTAAGGGGGGAAGACTCTCACTGCTTCTAACCAGTGCACAGCGACTGTGGCAGGGACCGCGGAGGACAGGGGCTGTGTGGGGCAGGTCCACTCACCGTCCACGGGGGTGCAGGGCTCGTAGACCACCCTGTAGCCCTCCAGGACACCGTTGGGGAGCTGCGGGGCTTCCCAGGACACGTTCACTGAGGTCGTGGTCAGCTCGCTGAACTTGACTGAGCTGGGCGCGCTGGGGGCTGGGGAGACAGCACAGGGCTTTGTTTTCTCCTTCTGCGGACGGACGTTCAAAGTGTTGGGTTTGGCTCCAAGAAACTAGCGGGAGTGCTTGGGCCCGGGCCCGGGAAGAACAAGAATGCCCGGCTTAGAGCAAGGCTGCAGGAGGGGTCACCAGAGGCCACTGGACCCCTTCCCCGCCTCCCTCCGTGTTAGCACTCGAATTTCCCAGATTGAAGACCCTGGAACAGGAAGAAAAGGGAGCTGCATTTCCCCCTCAGGTTGGAGAATTTGGACTTGTCCCTGAGGAGCGGCTGTGAGCCTGGCTAGCAGCCCGGGGCCAGCCATCGCACGTCCAGGGTCACCGTGGGGCAAGGCGACTTCCTGGCTTTGAGGGGTGCAGCTTTCGACTTTCCTGGTGAGTGAGGAGGTGGGGTGTGCGGGCCTCAGACCACAAGGAGGACACTAATCAAGGAGAGGCCGGGACGTAGCCGGCAGAATGGCCTTCCCCTTGCCCCAGCTCGTCCCAGAGACACCATGCTGTCAGGAGGAGCCAGAGCCAAGGACGGTCACAGGCTCCGGAGGGGCAGGGATGTTTCTCAGCCGCTGTCCTGAAACATGGGTGGGGGGCCTCAGAGGGGGACCGAGAGGAAGGCAGGAAGCATCCCCCTCCACTGTCCCGGATGGACAGGCTATTATTGTCCGGCGCTGCCTCCCCGCAGGGCTGGAGCTAATCTGGACGGGCTTCCGGCTCCAGAAGCGCCAGCTCGGGAGGCAGCGTGGGCAGCTCGGTCCCGAGCGCCTTTGAAGGAGGGAGGTGAGCTCAGGGCCCTTCCTGCCTCCCCTGGGTAGAGACGTGGGACAGAACGTTCTGTCCTGCCGCTGCAGCCACGGGAGCTTCCAGACTCCTAGAGCCTCACATCCGGCCCCAACACGCTGGCCGAGAGTGGCTGGGACCGGCAGACAGACAGACAGATAGACGAGAGACCTGCGCATTCGGATGCTCATAGCCCAGCCTCAGCCTGGGGCGCTTGCTCCCTGCAGCTATTTAAGAACAAACATGATCCGCTGCAAGGAGAGCGTTGGGGTGGAAGGGGCTGTGGGGAGGCCGGGGCAGAAGCCTGCAGTGGTCCTCTGTAACCACGGGGACAGGTGCTAGGAGCCCCATGGATTTAAAAAGCCCAGGATCCTCAAATAAAATGGCACAGCATCTGTGTAGAAACTATGCCCCTCTTCCCATGCCCCAAATCCTCTCTAGGTTCCTTACAACATCCGACACAATGCACAGGCTATGCAAATAGTTGTCATACAGTATGTTTTTTAGGAAACATTGGCCAGGAAAGGTTCCTAGTGTTCAGTAAAGATGCAGTGAGAACTCTTGGTTCTCCCAGGAATCCCGGGTTCCAACCTCTGGAGGACCTTGGGTAACAGATGACCAGCTGGAGGACCTTGGGTAACAGATGTGTTTTATGGGGAGAACTTTCCTGGGTATTGCCCATTATGGGTACTGGAAGGAGGATCCAGGGTGGTTCTGCCCAGGAAGAGGCTTTGTGTCCTACATGGCTGGCTCCATATTTGCTGGCCACAGAATCCCTACCTGATCTACCCTCCTGTCCAGCCTCCCATCTGGCCTCCCTGCCTCCAGCCTCTCTCCTCACAGTCTGTCCTCTGTCCGGCATTAAGAACAACGATTTTCAAAATATTAACCAGATCTCATTGCTCAACTGCTTAACCCCTCCAAGGGCTTCCGTGCCCCTTAGAATTCACCCCAATCCCCCAGGCCCTCAGAGGCCTCACCTTCACCCCATTTTCCTGTGGGCACTGGGCTTTCTCTGTGTCCCTGCACTGTCCTCCAGCCGCTGGGCCTTTGCACCTGCTGTTGGGAACCTCCCCCTCAGGTCCACCCCCACTGAACTTCCCACAGCTGGCCTCTTCTCAGCCAAGCCTCAGCTCAGATGTCCCCACCTTCCTGAGGCCAAGTCACCCACTGTGGCTAACTAATCTATTTGCTTAGATTCCCGCCCCTCACCAAGGTGGGGACTTGTTGGACCAGTTGTCCCTGGCATCAAGCAGTGTGGGCTCATAGAGGACGCTCAAATATTGGCCGGATGAACAGAGGCAGGGGGATGAAGGGAGGAGGGGAGAGCCAGGCAGGGGGTAGTAGGAATCTGGGGCTGGGGTGAGTGCTGGTGAGACGTGGGGGCTGTCTCACAGCTTATGGGGACAGCTTCTCTTTTCTGAGCTCTCTTGTCTGGGCCCCTCTTTGGGGCTGGGTTCTTGCACCCTGAGGATGTCTTGGGGTCCTGAGTGCCCAGCCCAGATCCTCAGCGGATCAGGCAGCCGCCCCTCTGAGGCAGACCAGCCTCTCCCTGGGGTCTCTCCCCACCTGCTTGCTGGGTTTGGCCCCAGGCGGGGGTGCTCCGAGGCCCGTCTCCTGCGGCGTTGAAGGCCGCCACGCTGACCATGTAGGCAGTGTAGCCGGTCAGGTTCTTGAGCTTCACGCCATTCTCAGCCAGGAAAAGCGTCTTCACGCGCTCCGTCAGGTTCTGCCGCTGGGCTTCCCAGAAATATATCTGTGGGCACAGAGGACTGTGGGAGTGAGGGGGACAGAGACACGGCTCCCCTCCTGGCCCTGGCCCACCTGGGGCCTTAGAGACACATTCGCTGTGTGAGGCGTCCAGGAAACAGGAGTTTCTAGGAGATGCTGTAGAAACCTCACCAGGGCCTGGCTTTTCCCAGCCAAGGGCCCCCGTTGACAGTGGGACTGTCAACACCACCGGGTGCAGTCCCTGGCGGCTCCTTCCGCAGCAGTCCCTGTAGGGCCTCCCACTGGACATCAGCCTCTGATTACAGATCCTGGAGGAATCTGCCAGCTGTCAGGCAGGAAGCTGAGCCAAGAGGTGAGCGCCAGCAGAGCCCCCCACCCCGGCTGAAGGGGTGGCTGGGAGAGGGTGAGCCCCAGCCACTGGCCCCCAGACCTGCTGCAGGTTACCGAGGACTCCAGGGAGCACGGGCCACACTGGTGTGCAAAGCCTGCTACAGAGGAAGGCCGGCTAAGAAGGCAGTGGCCTGGGCACGCTGTTTACTAGCAGTGACCTGGCCAGGTGACTTCTCTGAGCTGCAGTTTTGTCATGTATACAGCTCCCGGTTGTCACGGGAGGTGAAGGTCATGAGAACAGGTATGGCCCCGTGCCTCCGGGGGCGGGCGTGGGGGGCGTGGCTGGCTTGGGAAGGTAGCTGTCTACAGGTTTCCGGCCAGGAGCGCAGCAGGTGCCCCATGGTGCTTCACTGATCTCGCCTCCAGCAGGGGCGGATACTCCTGGTTACCCAGTCTGGCAGATTCTTCGACTAGTTTAGAACTTTGAACCAAGGGCACCTCTTGGAGGATTCGAGATCATTTGGCGCCCCCTGCTGGCCGGAGGGGTTTCCGCACGCTTTCCATGTCCGGCTTTTCCAGGTCTCAGTTTACCTGGAGGAAGCCCATGAAGGTGAGCCTCTTCTTACATGGGTGGATGGGCAGGAGTTGAGGTGGTCATTCATAAAGCCACTCATTCCTCCCTTGTCCATTCACAGCAACGGGGACGCAGGGCTCCTGTGTTGAGGGGAAAGGTCTGCCCGTAGGTGGGATTTGGAAATGCACACCAGAAGAATCGACAGACTCCCGTAGATAGAGGGCCTTGGCACTCAGCGTTGGGAGGAGAGTTGGAACAGCAAAGGAGAGTGAGCGGGAGCCTCTGGCCAGAGAAGCCAGAGAAGCCAGCCGCCCTGGAGGAGGGAGGGACGGCCCATCCAGCAGCTGCCAAGTCAGGACGAGACCCGAGATCTGAGCACGGTGACCAGGGGTGAACGCTTCCTTGGTGATGGATTGAGAACCTACTCAGAGGAGGTTCAAGAGAGAATGTGCCAGGCACCGTGGTGCACGCCTGTGATCCCAGCAGCTCGGGAGGCTGGGGCAGGAGGATTGCAAGTTCAAAGCCAGCCTCAGCAACTTAGTGAGGCCCTCTCTCAAAATAAAAAGGGCTGGGGATGTGGCTTAGTGATTAAGTGTCCCTGAGTTCAATCCACAGTTAGAGAGAGAGAGAGAGAGAGAGAGAGAGAGAGAGAGAGAGAGAGAGAACACAAGAGGAGAAGAGTTGGATGCAGAAGAAATTCCAGGAGATTATTTAAGTTTTTTTTCCTTTTTTTAGAAAAATTGTTTTTTCAGTTGTAGTTGGACACAAGACCTTTATTTTATTTTTATGTGGTGCTGAGGATTGAACCCAGCACCCTGCACTGCTAGGCGAGTGCTGAACTGCTGAGCCACAACCCCAGCCCCTCCAGGAGATTCTTTTTGAAGAATATGCTGCCAAGGGACCAGCCAAAGAATGGGGATGACTGGAAGAAAATGTGAGGTCAGAAAAAGGCATCAGGAGGGAAATAAGCTGGGGACAGTGACGCGCACCTGTGATCCCAGCTACTCAGGAGGCTGAGGCAGGAGGATCACAACTTTGAGGCCAGCCTCAGCAACTTAGTGAGATCCTGTCTCAACATAAAGAGGAAAGAGGACTGGGAGTGTAGCTCAGTGGTAGAGCACCTGTCTAGCACACCTGAGACCCTGGGTTCAACTGCTGGTCTCACACACACACACACACACACACACACACACATCTCAGAATGTGTTTGTGCCCTGTCAACAACAGCTTGGAGAAAGGACAGCCGTGGTGCAGGGCGGGGTGGGGTGGGGTGGGGCGGGGCGGGCGGGAGGGTGATGGCTGGCCCCTGGCCCTTGGAGAGGGGAGGTCAGGGCGCAGGACCAACCAGGGGTGGCATACACACAGACAAGCCTTCTTGTCTGGGCACTGAACGCAGCTGGCTTCGGTAGACGATGATTAACAGCAGGAAGGACTTACGCAAAGTACACAAAGGGCCTGAGCCAGGTCCAGGTCCCCAGGAGGCCGGCGGCTGAGTGGCAGTGCCAGGACGCCTGCTCCAGAGGCAGGCGCCGGGGCCCCTTTGGCTCCCCTGTGTCCCAGGCGCCCAGGGTCATGCCTGGCACTTCGCTGGTGCTGGGAAACACTGCAGGCGAGGATGTGCCTCCCGTAGACAGGGCTGGCTCAGGAGCGTGTGACGTGCCACCACTGTCCTCTACCTGCTCAGTGCCCTGTCCTTGCTTTCCTTAAGATTTATTGAGGTAATTGACAAATAAAAATTGTCTGTATTTAAGGCCATGCTCCGCGCACCGACCCCTGCAACCAAGCGCATCCACACACCCATCAGCTCACAGTTACTCTTTTTCCCTCTTGATCCAGGGGACTGAACCCAGGAGCACCTAACCACTGAGTGACACCTCGAGCCCTTTTTATTTTGAGACAGGGAGTCCCTAAGTTGCTGAGGCTGACCTTGACCTTGCGATCCTCCTGCCTCAGCCTCCTGAGCTGGCCTGAGTCATTTGAGCTGCTGGGATTACAGATGTGACCACTGCTCCTGGCCCACCCTTTCTCCTGTGTGTGCTGAGAACACTTAAGGTCTACCCTCAGCAAATTCCCACTGTGCGGTTCTATAAGCTATCGTCACTATGCAGCCGTACACGAGACCCCCCAGAACAAATCTGTCGGTGTAACTGGACTTCTTAGGCTCTGGGCAGTCTCCATTTCTCCCTGGCCGGGCAATCACCCTTCTCTGCTTCTATGAGTTTGACTATTTTATTTTTCCCTCACCACTGAGTTAGACTCCATGTGTAAGAGAGCTCAAGTAGCATGTGTCTTTCTGTGTTTGGCTTATTTCACTTAATAGAATGTCTTCTGGGTTGGTGCAGGTGCGAGCGGCAGGCTTTCCCTCCTGAAGGTTGGGTAACATTCCCTGCCTGTCTGCATCCACGCTGCGCTTTCTCCACCCACTCACCCACGGGTCAACATTCAGGCTGGTTCCACATCTTGGCTGTGATGGATCAGGCTGCAATGAATAGCCTCCTCTCTTCAAGATTCTGGTTTCAAGACGGGCGCAGTGGTGCACCCCCCGATCCCAGCAACTCTGGAGGCTGAGGCAGGAGGATCTAACGTTCAGGCCAGCCTCGGCAACTTAGTAAGGGCCTGTCTCAAAATTCTAAAAAATTAAAAAGGGCTGGGGATGCAGCTTGTCGCGAGCCTTCCATGGGCCGTGTGTGGGGACCGTTGCGCACAGTAGCCAGATGAGGGGTAGTCTGGCATGGCGGACTCCTGGTCAGGGTGATGCAGGTGAGCCCCCCTCAAGCTCTGTCTAAGATCCCACACAGCACCTGAGATGGGTGTGACATGCTAAAATGTCATCAATCTGCTGATCAGGAAGCAAGACTCCGCCTTGAAACCTTATCCCTGCCTTTGATGTCCTTGTTATAAAATAAACCAAACTCAGGTCCTCTCTCTTTCCAGCGAGGAAGCGTGACGCTTAATTAATGTCAAAGAGCGTCCTGCCCTGGATTTAAAAAAACTACTCTGTGTTGTGTGATTTTTTTTTTTTTTGGTTCTCTTGTTCTTAGCTTAATGTTGCAGCCAGCCCGATTAAACCCAGTTTGTTTCCTCTGCGAGGGGCGCGGTGGAGAGTAGCTCGGTCATAAAGTGCTCTGGGTTTAATCCTTAATACCAAAAAAAAAAAAAAGGGAAATCTTGATTTCAGCCAGGCCTGGTAGCACCTGTAATCTTGGACTGGGGAGGCTGAGGCAGGAGGATCACAAGTTCTAGGCCAGCCTCAGCAACTTACTTAGACTCTGTCTCCAAAGAAAAATAAAAAGGGCTGGGGATGTGGGCTAGCGGGAAAGTGCCCTTGGGCTCTTATCCCCAGTACCAACCCCACAAAAAGCCCAACGGATTTCACTTCATTTGGATAAATACCCGGAAGTGAGGCTGCTGGATAATATGGCAGTTTGATTTTTAACTTCCCGGGGAACCTCCAGGCTGTTCGGCACAGAGGCCGGGCCATCTGCACCCGGCGGACAGCGCACAGGGTTTGGGTTCCCCAGGTCCCCCGCTATCTGTGACTCCTGGATGACGGCCTCCCCGACAGGTGGGAGCCGATATGGGGCCCTGGCTTCCACCTGCACTTCCTGGTCGTTGGCGACGTTGAGAACCTTTCCACACCTGCTGGGTATTAATGGGTCCTCTCTTGAGAACGGTCTACGGGGGTCCTTCGCCCCACTTTTAAATCGGGTCACTGGTTTTCTTGCTCTGAGTTGAGTGAGCTCCGTGTTCTGGCTCCGAACTCCCGATCAGGGGCACCGTCTGCAGGTGTTTCCTCCCATCCTGCAGGTCGCCCCCTCTGTCCACTCCTCTCTGCTGTGTCCCTGTCCTGTCCTGCTGCACCTGAAACTGGCTGAGCTGCAGCCAGAGTGAAATCCCCCCGCTGGGCGCAGACCAGCTGTCTGGGGAGAGCCGGGCTTTAAGGCAGGCGCACGGCCCGGGTGGGAGGCGGCTGGGCTACGGTACCTTGTCCCAGCCCTAGATGACCCTGTCCTGAGTCCCTGGGGATTTCAGAGGCCAAAGTCCGAGGGTACTCAGGTCTCTTCTCTTGGGTGCTATAGTGTTGCATTCAACCTACGCACATCCTCTGTGCACTTCACCATCTCAAGGTTGGTAATACTCCCCCACGCAAAACGCAAATGCTGTGGCAACCGTGGCTGGTGGGTGGGTTTAGGAATAATGACAAGGTGAAGTCCCTAAGTGTTCAGTACAGATTCTTCCTGAGAAAATATAACTGGCACTGGGGATATGTGTGTGCATATATATTATATTTTGGTGCTGGGGATTGAACCCAGGGGCGCTTTACCACTGAGCTACATCCCCACCCATTTTTAAAACTTCTTAGTTTGAAGCAGGGCCTCACTAGGTCCCCCAGGGTGGCCTGGGACCTGCCATCCTCCTGCTTCAGCCTCATGAGCTGCTGGGATCACGGCGTGCGTCTCCGCACCTGGCCCCATAAGAGTTAACTTCCAGAAGGTGGTGTCTGGACAGGCTGGTGGGCCGTGCTCTGCCAATCCCACTAAGCCGAATCGTCTGGCCGGATTCTAGAATCTTAAATAAAGCAACCGAGACCTGCAGAACGAGATCGGTGTGATGTCCTCTTAAGGTCACGTGACTGCCTCCCGGGTTGCACCTTGCTCCTCTCCCCCAGGCGGTGGCCGTGGGGTGCCTCCCTCCAGAAGGGCCTTCCTGTGGACTGACCTTTCTCAGGTCAGGCTTAGAACCTCCTTTATGTCTGTTAACCTCCTGGCCTTAGCACCGTCTCCCCGCGGAGGGCTCCACAGTCCACATCTGCAGCTTAGAGCCAGCTGGAGGTCCGTTGTGTCCCCAGCCTCTCTGAAGGGTCCTGCAGATGTCCAGCAGAGGTTTTGCACTGGACATAGGTGGAGCTGGACCCTGGGTCCCCTCCGGCCTCCTCTTGGGTCCCGTCCTCCTGGGTCCTGGAGTGTCCGGTGGCTCTCCTAGGCCCTCAGTTCCTCTGGCTCTGTCTTCAGTGCGGAGCCCGAGGCCACCGTGCCTCACGGCTGCTCTGCCTGGCGTGAGTCCCAGGGTCGCCTCACCTGGCTGGATCAGTCCCTCCTCCAGTTTCTGTCCTTTCCTTTCTCAGCACAGCAGCCAGAGTGACCCTCCAAGTCCACGAGCCCAGTGTCTCTCCTCTGCCCAGGCCCTTCCCGGGCTGTCATCTCTCGGGGTAAAAATCCAAGCCCCCGAGGGCCCTCGGTGCCTGGCCTGCTCAGCACTCACCTCTCGTCATGTTCCCCAAGTCACTCTGGGGGCTCACAGGGCTCTCCGCTGCTCTGTGGACACTCCAAAGCCTGGCCTACCCCAGGACCTTTGCTCTTCCTGGAACGTTCCTCTTCTGGGTCTACGTGCCTTGTGCTCTGTATTCCTTTAAGTTTGGTTCAGGTCTCACTTCCTTATTAAGCTCTTCCCTAACAGCCCTGTTTAAAGTTTCGAGGTTCCCCCTCGGATCTCAGCCCTCCCCTCGACCTGCTTAATCATCTGGCAGTATTACTTATTTTGTACATTGCGATGTCCTCCCCGCTAAAAACTCAAGCTCCTATTGTCTCTTTGCTCACTGAGAACAATGCTGGGCAGAAAATAACTGCTCAACGAACACCTGTCAACCAATGACTGAGAGATGGTGCTCGAGGCCTGCACACGAAGGTGCCCATCCACGCACACGGCACCCAGCCTGACCCAAACGCAGGATCACTTCGGCCGCGCTTGCTGGGCGGTGACACGAATACGTGGCTCCCCCTAGGTGAACCAAGGCTGAGGTCAGCCCGTGTCCGGTTCCTCGGTTTGGGCCACGGCGGCTGCTCAGGTTTGGAGGTGTTTTCTGGAACCGGTGCCTGTCCTCGGTGCTCTGTGCGGTGCCTCGGCGCCCACACGTTTCCTGGATCTGTGTGTGAACTCACAACTTCCAAACCTCGACAGTCTGGTGGCTGCCAGCCTGCGCTGGCTCTGTGCGGCGCCCTGCCCGTTCCTTGGGAGGCATATGCTGGGGTGCAGTATTGGGTTTTCCCAGCTGGCGCGCCTGGGCACAGCCTGGAGGGTGGGATCCATCTTGGGAGCTTCCTTGGCAAGATGCCTCCCTCCCTCCTCCCTCCGCCCTCCTCCCTCCTGGATTCTGCCTTCCCTGGGGCTGCGTGGGAGGCTTGCTGGGCCTTGGCTGAGACTCAGCTGCCCCTGTGCTGGGCCAAGGGGTCACCAGGCCCTGC